CGAAAAATAAAGCAAAATCCAAAGATAAGTGCGGTGAAAATCACAGCTGAACTTAAAAATGATCTGGACATTAATGTATGCAGTAGCACAGTGCGTAATTTTTTACGGGATAGAGGATATCATGGCAAAGTAGCTCGTAAGAAATATTTCGTAAATGAAATTAATAGAAAAAAACAATTGCAATTCGCGAAAGAGTACGTTAATGTTCCTATGGAGCACTGGAACCGTATTATATTTACCGATGAGAGTAAATTTAACATATTTGGGTCAGATGGACGATGTACAGTATGGCGGAAAAAAAATACCGAGTACGAAAAAAGAAATTTGAAGCCGACCGTAAAGCATGGAGGAGGATCTAGTCACAGTTTGGGGCTCTATGCGTGCGAGCGGGGTTGGATCCCTCCATTTTATCGATAGTATCATGGATCACAAAATGTACATCGATATTCTAAAAGAGCATCTTCAGGTTAGTGCAAATAAAATGCAGTTACAGGTCAATTATATATTTTTGCAAGATAATGATCCAAAGCATAATGCTTATAATACACGTCAGTGGATCCTATATAATGTGCCACAGCAATTAAAAATCCCTCCACAGTGTCTAGACGTAAATGTGATAGAGCACTTATGGAGTCATCTTGAAGAAAAAATTCGAGACCATCACATTTCTTCGAAACAAGATTTAAAAAATGCACTTTTAGAAGAATGGAACAAAATGTCTAGTACTATAACCAAAAATTTAGTAAATTCAATGCCGCAAAGGCTTAAAGCGATTATACAATCTAAAGGAAATCCCACTAGATACTAAAATAGCAAATAGACTGATTTTTGTTACGTTTATGTACTAAAATTGATAGTTTTTGTTGTAAAATTAGAAGTGTACGAATACTTATTACACGTATATTTCACGCCAATTTCTGGAAATTTGTTAATATTTTCATAATAAATATAAATAAATAATTTGTTGTTAATGACATTTGTTCCAGAGATTTCTAAGAATATGTATGTATGTTTTTGTTAACATACTTTTGTAATAAACAAAGTTCTGCAAAGTTTTTGTTCAAATTGACTAGTGTACGAATACTTTTTACACTCACTGTATTTCAGAGTAAGAATATCCAATCCCCTTTGAGAAGTATGTTCGTTGTATAGCTGTGATTTCTCGGAATGAGATTGTTATTCATTCGAATAGATCTATTGTCCGAAACCACCATCGAGTTAATGATCTAACGGTCGCGTAGAATTCTTTCGTTTATACTTAATAGTAACGATTTAGTCGCGAGTGCGCACACGATAGAAAGAAATCATCTTGTGTCGGATGGAAATAGCGTTCGTCTCTGCTGATCGAGAAATGGGGCGAAAAGCTTTAGACGCCTGAAGTACTTAATAATAGTAGATAAAGATATTTAGTTGAGACGTAGCCGTTACGCCTAATCAATGTTTTTCTTTCTTTCTTCTGGTAAGTAACTAATAATTTCGTTTTAACTACGTCTCTCTCTTTCTCTCTTTCTCGCGACTTAACACTGTAACACTTCCATTATCTTTAACAACAACAGTAACAACATGTTCTCCGACAGTAACGTATTATTATTAGGATCGTGTCCGCGCCTAGCACTTGTGTCTCGTCCTCGCGGTAATTTATGACACCGTGTAACAATTTGCCAATAGAAAGCGTTAAAAACTGGTAGAAAATTGTCGATTTTATTCGATCCCCGTTCCAAAGATAATCTCGATCCCGATTCGGATTCTACCGAGAAAACTATCGATCCGAACGTTTACAATTTCGCGTGACTCGTTTCGCTACTTTCGGTCTCGAGGAGTCGAAACAAGTGCTTTCCAGCGGAATTTCCTGCAATGTAAGTCACAAAAGAGCTCTAGGAAACAAATACTCGATAACGTTCGAACTATAAAATCACGTTTCAATTAACCCAGTTCGGCTGATATTTCTCCCAGAATTTTTATTTCAGAAAAAACGCTCGTTTTAGCGATTATTGTTATACGGCTGAAACTCCCCACTAAAATCTGTTATAAAACATAATTGATTAAAAAAATAAAATGAAAAGTAAACTCAGCCTTACCCGAGTCAATTACGAAGCAAAATTAACGTTTTCCTCGAAACAGCCATGAGTTCTTCCGTTGCTCGTACTTTACAAGCGGCGTATAATCGAGTTAAAAGATCATCAGGATCGACGCGGCATTTTTACAGCAAATCGTCAAACGGAACGTTAAAATAGCGTAAACGAGACTGATTTTCCGTAGCTCACTTTGTGGCTTATACGGTACAATGCGTAATATATACAGCGGACGTAGTTTTTAGAACCTTAATCCTATCTCTGTCGATTCCTACACACACAAAATTCTTGGTTTTCTTGGCGGGGGTTCAAAAAAGACTTCCAACTCATCTACTCTTTACGAAGATAAGTTTCGTTTGCAAAACTTGTGGAGTGTCAGGATGGTCGAATAGGTTCGGTCGTCTATCTTCGCGGTTATGTGATGAAATCGACGCTTTGTTTATATCTAAAAAATATTACTTTACAGATTACACGCTGAAATTCACTGCCTCAGGCACCGTTGCGTATTGTAAAACAGTTAGTTTCGATTTGTTCGTGATTTACCCGTGTTGTCTCAGTTCCGTATTGATTGCATAGCTCTTTCTACCGTTTCGTTGAAATATGTAAGTTCCCGATACAGAATGCTCCGATGACAATTATGACTCTAAATGTCTTCGAAATAAATAGCAGAGAAAAGTTTCTTTAATAAATGTTGCAGCTTATGGGAAGGTTTCTTTTTAATTGTAACGAGAAAGGAACAGGTTACAGAAGTTCATTTTTTCGCGAAAGCATTGTTTTCCAAATATATATAATTATTTAATATATTCATGAGCAATATAACAATCTCGAATGATTTGAAATATTTTTACTAGCCTTTCTCTTAATTGGTTAATGTAGTTTGAAAAATAAAATATGTTTATATTCTTCATGATCCATGCAATATTTTATAATAATATTTTTCGAATTATTATTCAAATAAAAAGTTATCTGAGTAGCTGTTCGATGTCTAATAGTGACTTTGTTTCACGTAAATAAGTTACTATTCGTTGCTTTTATTCAGCACCTAATGTTTCTATAAAATCACGACCACAGTTGATTGTAAAATTAGAAGCATAATGTTCGTAATAAACATGCTTTTCGATTGTGATACGTTCTCGAGAAGTATACAGGGTGGTCCACGCAATTGTTTCAAGTCATAACTCCGTAATTATTGCATTTACGCAAAAATGCCAAAGGAGAAAGATAAAGACATTTTTTGAAAATATCTCGAGATCTAATAATTCTTTTGCCATGGTACCCTAATCATTTTATACGTAGTTTGAACAGAAGAATCGATCTGTGTAAAAAAAGATATGCATTTCTATTTAAAAAAATGATGCAATTGTTAATTGCATATGCACTGCTGCATCTAAACAAAGTTTAAAGGCCTACAGATGTAGTGCCCTTCGAACCATTTATCTTTCTCCTTTGGCATTTTTGCGTAAATGCAATAATAACGGAGTTACGACTTGAAACAATTGCGTGGACCAACCTGTATATTCAGTTATTCAGTTCCCCTTGAATATGAATAGATAATAATAATAGAGAATTACATAGTGGGAACCATACATTACTCAAATGCTATAATAAATTGAAGTTTGAAGAATTATGATACCCAAATAATTATGCTCGTAGAATGTCTTCTTTCGTATTTTGTAACTCTTATAAGACAATCTTTTTGGTACCATCAAAGATATTTTGGGCGATAATCGTTACCGGAACGCCTTTCCGCTTAAAAACTTGACACGCGACTCCTGACACTCCATGATGTATTTATTTAATCGTTACACCCGGTGAATTTAATATACATGTACTTTTGTTGAGCATATTACGTCCTGGAAGTAGGTTTCTTTTAGAATATTTCATTGTTTACCACAATATACATACTTAACTTGTAACGGTAGCTCGTGTTTACATTACGTATTAAATATATATGTATATGTATGATATACTTAAATGCCATAGTTATCTCGTACGATAGACATTGACATTTCCCATTAAGATATCGATTGGTTTCTTCTTTTTTTCTTTAGTTTGTTCGCCTGGGCGTTCGTTTTAACGAACGGGTCCGTTGGCTCGAAGTTCGTCCCTATTTTTGAAAACGGGCCGAAGTTTCGTACAAAGTTCAATGAGTTCTCAAAAGACTTAGGAATTTCAATAAACTATCTATTGCATTGTTGCTGCCTGAATAAACTTACTTTTTCTCTTTTATTCTTCGGTTTACATTGGTTCCAGCTGTTGGGTTCTTCTTACCGGGTCCACGAAAGCTTCTTTTAACAGCAGAAAGTTTCTCAAATCGCCGTTTTCAACCTTAAAATTTCGACTTCGAGAAAAATCGAAAAATAACAAAGAATTCAGAAATACCGGAGAATCTGAGACGAATACAAACAATTTGCTCCTAATTGTAAACGCAATTTATATACCCGTTCTTTGTTCCGTGTACGATTGAAACCACGGCGTTAGACGTTGTTTCAGCGAAATCCCTGAAGTACGTGTGTTTGATGTTTAGAATTTTCTCGATCAGGCTCTGGTCGAGGCCACGCAGTCCGATTTTCCGCGTGTGAAATATAAACTTCTACCGCGTTGTATCGTGCTACTACGCCCGTTCGATAAACGGATGATCGAACGTTCGATTGGACAGTACGATAAACACCACAGACTGTATAAAGTGTCACGGAACGTCCAAAAACGATTGGGCACGTTCACGATGGGAACCCACACAGCTTCCTCGTTCTCCGCGAAGGAACAATAATGTCCAGAAACAGACGGCCGTTGAGCACGCGTCAGCGAGTGGAAAATTTATCGAAACTCGTTATTTCCCAGTTTTCTTCATAGGCACTGAATAACGTTCTCCTATGTCTCCTTTTTCGCGTGAAACTTGGTTCTCTCCTCGATCTTCTCGGCGGGCTCGTTTGCAAGCTTCAGTCGGCACCCGAACATCCCAATTCCGGATGTTTCGTATCGAAGGAAGTCTCGAGGGGAGGCTGCGAGGCAAGAAACTCGTTGTCCAAAATGGGGAAGCGACCCGATCCGCTCCCTGGGAACCCTTACGGACGCGCTTCCCTTTCATCTGATGGGTCTAGGCAATCGGCGCCGGTATTCTACGATCACAGAACTGTCTCCATCTCGGCGATTTCCGTCCTGGCGGCGCCGTCGTCCGGGATCCTGTGCCCAGAAATCGATTTCTCTCGTTACATTACGCCGCGCATCGACCATTCGGAAAATTCGGAACATTCTCGCACGTATGTACACTCCCAGCCAAAAAGATAGCACATGTGTGCTATCTTTAATTTCTCACTGACACACGTACAATTTTGGGTTTGTAACACATAATATAGTAAGCTTACGAGCTCAGAATATGTGGATCGCTGCAAAGATGTCGCGGCATCACGGCGTTTTGTTTACAAAACAGAAACAGTGTTGTATACGAAGGACGAAATGATAGCACACTTATAAAGCAATAAACATTTATTTATTAATATATAATTGTTTAATAATGAGTACATCCTCCTTTATTTTCTATGATTTCAATCATTCTATTTGGTAACGACTTATATAATTTTTGTATATTTTCTTGATTTAAATTGCTCCATTCCGCGACAATAGCTTCTTTTAGTTCGTGGACATTCTCGTATTGTTTCCCATGTTTGTAAACTGCTTGACTGAGTTGACTCAAATAATTTTCGATAATATTAACACTAAACCTACCGACACTTCGTGTATACCTATTCCTACCATGACCGGTCAAATGATTTCTAATCGCCTAATTTTTGCATTATATCGTATAATATACAGTCGTACGATCAGTAGGAATTGCTGAAACTTCTTTAGGTATGTAGCATCAAAGTAAATGTGAAAATAAACATAGAAGATAGCATAAATTATAATAGTTAGTATAGTCATCAGATAGAGGATGAAATGCCCTTTAAAATGAGCGTTTGTGCGAGTCGATAGCTTTATTAGTTTCGGAGATATAGCGATTTTAATTTCAAGTCGATGCGGTGGCTAGTTTCTTAAGCTGCGTCCCCACTGGATCGGCACGGCTCGGCATTTGCCGATAGCTGCGTCCCCACTGGGTCGGCACGGCTCGGCATTTGCCGATCGGCACTGCCGATCGGCACAGCGTTCGGCAAAAGGCGGCACAAGGCGGCACGGCCGTGCCACTGCTATGCACCGCGGCAAAGCCATTTCAGTACACAAAAAATGTACAGTGACCACGAGCCAACTCGTGGAACAATATAGCCATAAAACAGCTGTTAAACACGCGCGGCCACTCGTCGCGTCCTAATCCGGAGTCCCGTTTTTTCTTCGATAAATTAACGTAGCCTTCGACTTGGGGAGAAAACCTCGGGCACCCTCGTTCTGGGGGTGACCTGGAAGTCTTCCTCCACCACGTTCAGGTATGAGGAAAGAGTTTTCCTCCCAAACGGGGTGTGAAAATGGGTCCTCCTTCCCTTAGTCGATGACCAATCGGTCGAGCTAAAAGTTAATACCAAATTCGGTTGACACCCCCAAAATCGCGTATCGGAGGAAGAAACGGGCTCCGGAAACATCGACCAATCCGTAAAACCGTTGAATTAAATCGTAGAAAAGCTAATTCGTACAACCGTTAAAGCAAACGTATCGTAGAAAAGACCGTATCGTAGAATTTTTTAATAACTTTTTAACGAAGCCTCAGTCAAGAAATTGATATTCTTGATTTTTGTTTTCCGACGAGTACCACTATTGTCGAAACCACATAGAATAATTGCTATACAAACTGTATGTATTTATAATTTATAAATCGCTCCACCTTTGCCACGATGTCATAGGTGGGCAATAAAAACAATTAATCTTTTCATTGCCGTTAAGAAACTTGTTACTGTTATTGTTACTTATTACTTGTTAAGATCACCTTAATTTTTTTTGTAAAATTGTATTTTTTTGGTCATAAATCGATGCATCTTTGTATCCTCTTAAAAAAAGTATAGAGGCCTTAAGTCGAAAATTGAATAGTTTAGGAGTTATTAATTTTGTCCCGAACTCCCATATACTTGTCACATTGTGCGACGTTTGGCCTTGAAGACCGTACCACCCGCGGAACAATATAGCCCTTCGCTGGTCAACTCGGGCCTAGCGCTTTCGTTTCGACAAAGCACTAAATTATTTTACAACAAAATTTGCCAGATGCGGAATATTCGAGGACTTTCGCGACGAAGTAACGGTTCCAAATCTGGCAACATAAAAAAGCGTAAAAACCTGAGCTAATCAAACGGAACACTAACTTCGTCGACTAGTGCAGGGGATGAACAGTTAGTGGGGGTTGCGGAAAATTCCGTCGTTGAATGGAACGAAAGGCTATCGACTATGCAAAAATATGGGTACGAGGAAAAAATCTTTCGCCTATGACCATATTTGGTTACAAGACGAGGCTTTATGGCGCTGCCTGGGCCTTTCAGAACTGGAGGTAGCAATCGTCACGCTGTGAAATTTTCCGTTCGATCGCGAAAGAATACCAATTTGTTGATGGAGGCTTTGTTAAAAAGTTATTAACGTTTAAAGTTCCTGTATCTTTGTATCTCGATGATGGTTTTGGAACGAAATTGACATGAAACTTTCGTGCTCTCGTGTCTTGGCACGATCTCTTTTGATGGTTACCGACATCGTGCCGATCGACTCGTCGGCATGCCGTTCGGCTTTTCAAGCCATGCTATCCAAGACGATGCAGTGTTTGGCTTTGCCGAGAAGTACTTAGGGTGCCGATCGGCCGTGCTAGATGACAGATGCGGACGCAGTGTAGACGCAATTCTCGGCTTTTGCCGATCGGCCGTGCCGAACGGCAAATGCCGACCCAGTGGGGACGCGGCTTTAGATACGAGGGTCCGAAGCCTTTGTTTACGTTCATTGATTATCAATGAACTCGCGCGCGTGAAAATAGTAAACAGTGCGTAGTAAATTCTTGGAAATACTACGCGAAGTAGGTCACGACAGTCACGACTCACGTGCGACAAAGAGGTCCAGCGCGACGCATCAGACGAAGACAGCGATAGTCAAATTAAGAAAAATACCCCTTTACATAAATTACGATATCTCGAAAACGGTAAGTCCGATCGACAAAAACCAAAAACCGTTTTAAAGGGGAGGCCTTGCCGCTTCTAGCAATACCTTAATAATTAATAAAACCCTAGTAGTTTCGGAACTGCACGCATCTAAAGTTTTAGTATTTTTAATACGCGTTATTAGACTGTCCTAAGACAATGGAAACTGAATACTGGACTATATACAGGGTGTTCGGCTACTCCTGGGACAAATTTTAATGGGAGATTCTAGAGGCCAAAATAAGACGCCCGATCGTTATAGGCAAAAGAGACTACATATTTTTCTCAGAAAATGAACAATAAGAATAGAAGTGAATATTGAAAAATTCATTGTACGTATGCTATAAGAAAAATCGTGAAGCTAAATGTGCGCTAAAATAACATTGTGCGTTAGAAATTCTAAACAAAATTTTAAAAACGGTCATTTGACCGGTTCGTGGTAGGTTTAGTGTTAATATCCGGTGAGCGCGCAGGCCATGATAAAACACGTATCTTTTCTTTTTCAAAATAGGTTTTTACAAGTTTTGCAGTATGTACCGCTGCATTATCCTGCTGATATATGAATCCAGACCCAGATATACGTAGGGCATGCATTGTTATTTGTTGCTTTATCAAATCCAAATAATATTTACTGTTCATTTTTCCATAAATAAATTTTATTTCCGTCTTACCGAAGTAATCGATGGCCGCCCACACCATTACTCCACCACCGCCCATTGCTCGCCGAATTTTTGACAATTTTTCTTTTCTTAGATCGTGGAAATAATAGTTTAAACCATCAGGTCCATCTAAATTAAATTTTTTTTCGTCGGAAAATATCACTTTTCGCCACTTCTTCTTCCAGTGTATTCGATCTTTGGCAAATTGTAAACGTTCTTGTTTGTGCCGTGGAGTTAATGCAGGTTTCTTTTTCATTGTTAGTCTTCTAATATGCTTGCATGATTGTAATACACGACGAACACTTGAAACACTTGCATTGACGCCAGCCTTTTGCATGATTTGTTTTGTTGTACACTGGGTATTGGAAGCTATACGCAAAACAGTTCGTTTATCCCGTTGTGACAACGATGATGGTCTTCCGCTACTCTTCTTTTTACCATAATTTTCCACGTTTTTAAGTAAATTATAAATTACCTTTCGACTTCTGCTAGTTATTTTCGAAATTTTAGATACTGATAAATTTTGCCTTTTCAGTTCAAGAATATGCTTTATTTCTGATGTCGTTAATTTTTCCCCCCGTCCCATTCTTGTAAATTACTAGGCAATACTTTCGCGTCTTGAATACCTAAGAGATCGCGAAATACTGAGCAGTTTATAAACATGTAGACGGAGTGTGCTATCATTTCGTTCCTAGAATACAACACTGTTTCTATTTTGTAAACAAAACACCGTGATGCCGCGACCTCTTTGCAACGATCCGCATATTCTGAGCTCGTAAGCTTACTATATTATGCGTTACAAACCCAAAATTGTACGTGTGTCAGTGAGAAATTAAAGATAGCACACATGTTTAAAATAAAATGATTTTGGATCAAGGATAGAAACCTTAATATTTAATATGAATATTATTTTTATGAATTAAATCTTATATTCTAAACTCAAAGAAATTAAACATTTTAAATTATTCTATAACTTTTACTAACTTGCTAGCAAACTTTTATCAATACCAAATTACTCCAAGTTATTTAAATAAACATATATTTTGGTTAAATCTCTAAAATTATCATGATTATTTTTGAATTTGTCTAAACTTATTCAAGTCTTATCCAAGTGAACTTTATTTTTCAAATGTAATATTATAATTGATTAGGAATACATAATCAAGTTTGCTTGGATAATTAAGATTGCTTAAACAATCAAATACTTGATTTGGATTTAATTATAATCAACATATAAGCTTTTAACTTGTTACATTACAGTTCTCACTTTTGTATTAATAGTCAAGTCGTTCAAACATTCGAACAGATTGAATTTTCTCAAGTTTGATCAAACATTCGAACTACTTGAATAATCAAATAATTGACTTGGTCTGGATTTCAAGTATTGGGACAACTCTAGTATAATTCAAGCGAACTAAGTCTTCCTAAAGTTACAACTACGTTTCTTTTACCTGTAGATCTCTGGTGGCAAAAATTTTCCAGCATACTCCGTGCTGACGACGTGATTCCTGGTCATGTCTCTAGGCCTGACAACATCGATGGCGTCGATGAATCTGGATATAACAAAGTTTCCATGTAACGATTTCCTCGAAAATAATATCACGTGTCGCCTATAGATAGACAGTTTACACAGGACGAATGAGTTAACATTTGAATCTAAGATACCGTTGATGCTCGAGTTGGTCTGAGAAAATATCCGAGAGAGGACAAACTTGATACGAAAGGGCAAATACCAAAATAGAGAACATTTATTTTCTACGATCGCAAATCGCCGGTATTGTTTCTCATTGGACAATGTATTTTTGTTATCACAGTAATACACTTGACAGAGAAATCAATTATGTATATTATTGTTTCTTAAATTATATTTCAATGAGGACTTCTACTCCCGAAAAATTATAATTCTGTCTTCTGAACAAACGTAGAATTATTTGTAATAAGGAACGCAATATAATGTTTTAATACAGAAGTGTATTACACCGATGAAAATGATTAAATCAACATGTTTCTAGGCAATATAGGAAAATCGTCCAATTATCAAGGACGAATAAACTATTGAGCACTTAACAGAACGGTATTTTCATTGAAAAATAAATAAAAAAAAAAAATTTTTCGTATAGTATGGAAGAAAAATTTTCCATTTTGCATCTGAAGTTTAGTTTTCAAAACATAAGCAAACAGACTTTTGCAAATTATTAATACCTTGAAAAAGAAGCTTTAGACTGTAAGATGGTCCAAAACTTCTCGATTTTCTGTTTCACGAAGAATTTGTTTATCTTAGTTTATTACATTATACTTGAGTACACTGTACAATATCCTGGAGGTTCTAAAAAATTTATTTCTTTATTGTTAGAACAGAAACAGTCTTTAGCTGGAAGAAAATAAGAATATACAAATTAACACGCACCAAAAAGTGAATAAAAAACATATAAGTACATAACAAATTTATAGTAAATATCACAATGCTAAATTTTACACAATAGTTCCGCCGATTTGTTAATAAAAAGTTCGAAGTAGAGAATGATTAAATGTGAGAAATTAGTCGCAAGAAAAGGTCGAAAAATGTGTTGAAATTATTAACGAGCATGCCCATACGATTAATGCAATTAAATTCATCATACTGCGTGCGATGCATTTTCAAATTAAACAAGACACGTTCTCTGAAATTTCTCGTTAACACATAAAATTTAAATTGCCTCAGAATATCGGACGATAAACTTATAGCGATACTAAATAGAGTCTATACGAATGAAATGACTTATTGTAATCTGTTATAATTATTCATCTCCATTTATTTATTTTCTTCTTTTAAAACATACTTTCTTTTGTTTTCATATTTTGGTTGGTTTTCAACACTAGATTTACGGACATTGCACATACTTTTATCTAAACACGTCATGTTATCAGTTTCATTAAAATGCAGTTTTCTTTTGAATTAGGATATATATTAATCAAATTCAATATAAATTGTTAACAAGTAATATTTATGATTTCTGTAATAGTAAGTACAGAATCTGAAACTGGTAAAATTAATGTGTTTTCGTAAATTTAGGGTTAAAGTTAATTACATATGAAAAACATAAACAGTTACATACTCTTTGATTTTATCGAGTATTTTTATTATGAAATGTTTTGTAATATAATTTTATGCAATTAAATCTCTAAAGCCCACATTAACATCAATGTTTGCTAAAGAAACTTGGTATTTTAAATAGGAAAATGTCGTGTGGTTGTCTAAATGTTAACAAAATAGTGACCAGCAAGGAATATGCTTTAAACTGTTTGTTAAAAATTAGACAACCAGATTACGAACACGTTCATCGACAAAAACACATCATCAAGAGTATAGTCAAGGACGAAGATAACATTTGGCAAAAAATTTGAGAAGACAACAAATGTTCTGTTATCGTAACACTGACTATTTCCAAATAGTCATACATTCCTCTGGATATTTTCTCACGTCATCAGAAGCAAAAGAAGTATTTTAGATTCCACCGCGAATGGCTTGAATTCGAATTATTTTCTTTCCCTGGTTTTCACTAATTTCCAGCAATTTCCTCGACGAAGATAAATTGCTCTTCCGCCTTGTCAGCCTGTCGCCAATCGCAGACAATTTATCGCCCCCTACGCATTTCCGATACATTCCCCACGAACTAATCGAAAATTCGTCGTTGAAACTCGCATGCCATGCTTTCGAGCGTATGAAAAGTGGGCAGATCGATACGATACAGAAATACGATTTGAAAAAAGAAAAAGAAAAAAAAGAGGTTTCGGTGCGTGAATTCAAACTCTCGGAGGTTTAAGCGAAGCGTCTAATCTACATCTACCCTTATCGTTTGATCTTCTATGTCATCATCGATCACCCTGACACTCGAACTAAGATTCTTCGTTTTCGTTGGATACTGTTGTGGATTCACAACCCCCCAGCTGCCCCGTCATTTTTATCATACCTGGAAGACTGATAGATATTCGGTAGAATTAGGATAGATAAACCTTTACGTATAAATTGTATACAAAAAAATTTTCTAATAAGGGTTGTAGTACAATACAATAAAACGTTATCACCCGACCTCTAAATTTGCTCTTCTAAATATCGTACAAATCTGTGAGGCAGCTGTAGGGATTCTTAAGACAACAAGGAAACGAAATATTCCACCCTCAAATTTTCAGGAAATGTTACTGGCTTCTAGAGCGACCAAAAATAAGGGATATGCATTTTTATTAGCAGCAGTAAGAATTTAAGAAGAAATACATTTTCACCTCCAATTCTGTTTCGAAATCTAGTGGAAATACAAGTTTCTTCGGTAAATTCTTAAGTGTTTTTCACGGAAGACTAGTTTGAAGTATTAATAAAACAGTCAGAAAATCTCAAAATAAAAAGAAAAAATGATATAGTAAACTACTTTTATTTCGATTCCATAATTTATTGCACAAATATTTTTATATAAAATGTGCTATTGTAAAAATTTCATTTGGAACAGTGATTTTCAACAGTTTTTAACTTCAGAATGATTTCTCATGATTATTGTTCGTTAATAAAAATAATAATATAGCAAAATATATAATAAATAAATTGCGGATCTTTATGCAAATTCATATTTTTATTAATAAAATTAATAAAATCGGAGCTTTGTACAGAGTTGTCTCGACTCCTAAATATAACAATTCGTATCATGCTTTAAGTATTTCTTATATTTTTGCATATTAAGTGAATTCTGTAGATTTTTGAAAGTTAAAATTTCCCATACTAATAATGAAGTAATACATATACGGGGTGTTCGGCCACCCCTGGGAAAAATTTTAATGGGAGATTCTAGAGGCCAAAATAAAACGAAAATCAAGAATATCAATTTCTTGACTGAGGTTTCGTTAAAAAGTTATTAAAAAATTAAATTAAAAAATTTCAAAACATTCTGGAAAAATTATTTTCGGTTGCGTGGATCAATGACAATCATTTTTGGTGAATGCACGTACCCCGAAATCCTACCCATTTTCGAGAAAAAAATTTGGGTAGTTGCTGAAATTTTGCGGCGAAATAAAAATTTTTCTAATCGTTCTAAAAAAATTATTTTTAGTTACGGGGGTCGATTACAATCATTTTTGGTCTTTATATATACCCCCGAAATCCTACGCACTTTCGAGAAAAAAATTCCTGACCGAAAATCTCATACCACCGAAATTTCATACAAATCATTAAAACGTCATAACTCCTGAACGGATTGGACGATTTTAATGTTTAAAAATGCTAACTACGTGTTTTTAGGCGTAGAATATGTGGAAATTCCAAAAATATTCGAAAAGTCATTCCTTGACCCCGCAAAATGAGAAAATCCCCGTAAAAATGATCCAATTTTCAAACAGCCATAACTCCTGCAATAGTGAATATATTTCAATGAAACTTTTTTCTGACATAGAGCTCATGGGTACCTACAAAAAAGTGTTAGACAACTTTTCTGTAGGGCGTCAAACAAAATTACTAAAAATCAAAAACGAATTTCTAAGAAAAATCGATAGGGGTGCCTAAATTTTTCAGCGAAATTGAAAAGTTTTAAATCATTTTGGAAAAATTATTTTCGATTGCAGGATTCAATTTTAATCTTTTTTGGTGAAGTCACATACCTCCGAAATCCTACCCACTTTTGCGAAAAAAATTCGAGTAGATGCTGAATTGGCGAAAAAAGAATTTTTTAAATCGTTTTAAAAAAATGATTTTTAATTACGAGGGTCGATTACAATCATTTTTGGTGAATACACATACCCCCGAAATCCTACGCATTTTCGAGAAAAATATTCAATACGGGCCGAATTTTAAACTTTTTAACGAAGCCTCCATCAACAAATTGGTATTCCTGGCTTTCATCCTATTTTGGCTTCTAGAATCTCCCATTTCAATTGTTCCCAGGGGTGGCCGAATCCCCTGTATAGTGAATACACTAATAAGGGATACGCAAAAAAATATGTTGTAAAATTGTTACTCTAAGTAAGTAAAGATACATTTATTTTGGTGTCCTGAAAATTTGGAGGATAGGTTTACCTTTCAAGCTTACATTACCACTGGTAAAAAAAATTTCTCATTTTCGGTCGCCTTACGAATTTCAATACTTTCGTCAGAATGCGGGTGGAGGTGGGGATTATCTTGTATGTTCCTTGTAGAAAACACCGAGGGGTAATATAAAGCTGGAGTCGAAACGTGTCGCACGAGATCAATCTTATTCTCTCTGTGCACAGATTCATCGGCGTTCCGGACGACTTTTCGATTTCTTTTCAATTTTCCCGCCTACCACGCGGAACAGCCAAGAATATAAAGTATCGACTAGGTCGATTCTTGCTTGCGCCCCGAGGCATTTCCCAGTGACGTAGGAAGATTTCCTTACGGAACGTGCGTATTTCCAGCATCCTGTTCGAATATAAATTAACAAATTTTAGGGGGGTTACTCTCGGGATTTCTCTTGCTCGGCTCGATTTGAAATTTCAGATGTGCCCGTCCGATAATGTTCGAGGCAGAGGGCAATATCGTGTTCTGTTTAGCTGACGTGCCAAATTTTATGCCTGTACCATATGTTACACGACACTTTGATTTTCGTTTCGTTTTTAAATGGCGTACACTCGTCGCCTCAAACCGACACCAGCTGGCAAACAAACAAGCGTGAATTTTTCGGACATTTGGCAGCGAATTCGGCGTGTCATTGTTCCTGTGCCAAGTTTCAGTATCCGTGACCCAGTAAACACATCCCGCGGGCGCAATCGCGTTGCAAGAAATGTGCTTAGAACGGCTACGCGTTCTTACGAAGTTAAGGAAAAAAGTCTCGAATCAACGATTCAGGTTTCATTTTTTTTCGCGATGAAATTCCGCAGCAATATTTGCGGAGCAATGAACTCTTTGTCGTACAATGACTAGTCGTGTATTCTTTATCGATCTTACAGCAATTTAATATTGTGTCGTCCCACATGTTCATGCCGAGTTTTGTACTAAAACTTAAAACAATATTTTGAATACGTAATGGAATTTTATGAAAAACAGCGAACCTCTTCTCGTTCGACGACCCCCCTTCCTTTGGCAAAGCTATTACAGTGGTGGACATAATTATTGGTACAATATTCAATTTGGTATAAAAACGTTAAAAACTATTGAAAAAATTGTTTATTAAAAAGAAACGATTAGAGTTTGCAAAAGAATTTTTGAATAAAGAGAATGACTTTTGGGACCAAGTTTTGTTCTTTGATGAAAGTAAATTTAATATTTTCAAATCAGATGATCAGGTATTAGTATGGAGGAAACGCAATACCAAATTGGATGTGAAGAACCTCCAAGCTACTGTCAAACATGGAGGTGGTAAAGTCTGTATATGGGGGTGTGTCCTCATCCGGGCTTGGGGAGCTAGTGTTCATTAAAGTCTCAGTAGATGCCAAAACTTATTTAAATATCTTAAAAGAAAATTTATAGAAGAAAAATTAAAGTTACTGGCAAATTTTTATTTTCAGCAAGATAATGCACCTGCACATATAGCATATATAGCTCGTCAATGGATTGTTTACAACACAGCACACACTTTAAGCACACCTCCTACTAAAGTCGAGACCTTAATTCAATTGAAAATATTTAGTGTCAATTGGGAAAAAATATTCGTAAACACCACATTTCGAATAAATCGGAATTAAAACAAATAATTTAACAAAGAAATTGCTCTATTCTATGCCAAATAGATTAAAAGGTATAGTGAAACGAAGAGGATGTTACAAAATGTTAAATTGGAATTTAATACGGTGTTATTACCGGATGTTCGGCCACCCCTGGGAAAAATTTTAATGCGAGATTCTAGAGACCAAAATATGACGAAAATCAAGAATACCAATTTGTTGATTGAGGCTTCGTTAAAAAGTTATTAACGTTTAAACTTCCGCCTGTAGAACGGCAATCTACGAACAGCTGCGTGGGCGTGATAGTGGTTCTCATTCAGCATGAGAAACTCTACTTACTGTTGTATCGACAGCCTTACAGTTTTCTGAGTGAGAACAACTAACACGCGTACGCAGCTGTTCGCAGATTGCCGTTCTACAGGCGAAACTTTAAACGTTAATAACTTTTTAACGAAGCCTCAATCAACAAATTGATATTCTTGATTTTCATCTTATTTTGGCCTCTAGGATCTCTCATTAAAATTTTTCCCAGAGGTAGCCGAACACCTTGTGTAAAATGTGCCAATACTTTTGTCCAGGTATCAGACGATAATAGAACAGATTTTCATTGATTATATGTTCTCTATTTTATTAATTTTGTTCTGCCTTTGTGTATAGGTAAATGAGATATTGCAAATTAAGATACGTACAAAAAAGAAGCGAAGCAAACAATTTTTTCAATAGTTTTTAACGTTTTTATACGAAATCGCGGGCTGTGTCAATACTTGTGCCCACCATTGTATATCACCGCTATGCAACTGCGTTGATTTTTTATTTAAATGCAGTTTATTGAAACGTTAACGTTTTCAAATTGTTCACCCACAAATTAGTCTGGAGATTGTTGTATTTTATTTCTTATAAGGTTCACAATATCTATTTCTTTTAAATTTCTATGAATGGTTTATGTTAGTTTAAAATTTCGGAAATCTCCTGAATTGACAAACTTTGTTTGTTGTCTATTAAATTGCAAATTTTATCTTTGCCAATTTCAAAATATCGAACGGCACAAACTTATGGGACGACCCAATAATTAGTATAATATGAAATAACGTATGATTTTATTATATTTAAAATACAATAAACTATCGAAACATTGACTAATTTATTTTTCTCTAAATTAACATTCATTGTCATACGCGATATCGTTGGATTTTCAGTTAGTATTTATAAGTAAAGTGTTATCATTGGAAACAAAACGTGAAGTAATAAATAGATTAAAACGTGGTGAAACCGTGAGTAAATTAGAAATTAAATATGGAATTTACAAGGCAGCTGGTTGTGACATGAAAAATCACAAGAAATTGAAGACTGTGTTAAAAGTTCTGTAAATCAATATTCATTGTCATGTTTTCTTTTACCTTAATAACTCAATAATCACACACATTCGTCGGTATAAATTTTCATTTATCCATTCCTGAGATCTCGCGTAAAAAAGAACCCTGAATACAGGCGAGAAAAAATTGTTGGAACGTATTAAATTAAATCTATTTAATCTATCTACTGCTCCAGTAGGATTAAACAAATTCGTTGCGTCACGAGCGAAGGAACGACGAAAGTTAGTATACGGAAGATGGTTCTGTCGGATCGGAAAGGCTGAACACGTTTGGATTTCGTTCGACAGCCGACAGTTAGACGCGATCGAAAGAAATATTTGTTTCGGTTCCTACGTCACTGAGCATTCTTACGTGTTGTGGACGTTGCTGACTTACGAATCAAAGTATGGCGGTAGCGGATGCGGAGCTTCCACCGCCAATGGCTCCGGTGGTGTATGGCGGTCCGAGCTTTGAAAGCATCCTCGCCACCAGCCGAGACTTCCGGTTTTCCTCCTTTAAAAAAGCCGACATGGATATGTGCCAGGCTTCTTTTCCACCATCGTTCCGCCACCAACCATTTCATAATAGGGGCCAACAGCATCCCACGACACGAGACCTCATCCCCTTGCTCTTATTATTTTTCCTTCCTCGAGTTTCTAGACAGTTTCTTTCTTTCGCATTCGACTGTGCTGGACAGTCTTATTCGCGCCAAAATTGTCATCCGATGGCAAGTATTTTGAAAACGGAAAAATATTCGAACAGCTGCGTACTATACAGGTTGAGGCTCGAATTAATCCCCACAATTTTTCAAACTCCTTTTGACAAAAAAATTTTTTCCCATCGAAGTTAATCAGTATTTAATTCCAAAGAAGTTAAGATCACTGTTATATTTTTAAATCGAACCAGGTGTTTTTAACTTCATGGTATTGTAGGCGAGATGAATTCAACAACCTGCTACACAATGACTTTTAGATGACAATGAAGGAAAAATTGCTAGGAATCGATTGCCACAGTATTTCAAATTATTTGGCGATATATAAGGGAATGAATGCAAACATTACGAATCCTCATTTATTCGACTTCAGAACTTGACACACAAAATAAGAGAAAAGTTTATACAAAACCATAATGAAAATACTCGTGTTAAAAAGAAAGTGTTAAACAACTTCTTTGTGCATTTCTAAGCATTTTGTATAAATTTTCCTTTTATTTTGCGAGTTAAGTTCTGAAGTTGAATAAATGTTATGCTATTAATAAAATATTCGTAATGTTTATGTTCATTTGTTTACGTCTAAATTGCGAGGCTCTGGTGTTATCCAGGGTGTTCTGCCACCCCTGGGAAAAATTTTAATGGGAGATTCTCAAGGATATTAATTTGTTGATTGAACATTTCCGGCCACACAGTATATATTCGATAAAGGATTTTTTCCTCGAAAGTACGTAGGATTTCAGGAGTATTTGTATTCACCAAAAATGATTGTAATTGATTCCTGCAACCAAAAATAATTTTTCCAGAACGATTTGAAATTTCTTTTTAGCTGAAGAATTTCAGCAGCTGTCGATTTTTCTTAAAAATTCGTTTTTGATTTTTAATAATTTTGTTCGACGCTCTACAGAAAAGTTGTTTAAAACTTTTGTGTAGGTACCCATGAGCTCTACTTCAGAAAAAAATTTCATTAAAATCCATTCACTATTGTACGAGTTATGGTCGTTTGAAAACTAGACCATTTTTATGGGGTTTTTGTCACTTTACGGGGTTAAGGAATAACTTTTTCAATATTATTAGAATTTGTACATATTCCTCACTAAAATACGCGCTATTCGCATTTTTAAACATAAAAATCCTTCAATCCGTTCAGAAGTTATGAAGTTTTAAAGATACGAATGAAATTTTGGAGTGACATTTCTGGCTTGAAATTATATTTTCGGTAAGGAATTTTTTTTTTGATAATAGTTAGAATTTTAAGGATATATGTATTGATAACAAATGACTGTAATTCACCCCTGCAACCAAAAATAATTTTTTTGGAACGATTTGAAATTTTTTTAATGTAATTTTTTATATAACTTTTTAACCAAGCCTCGATCAAGAAATTGATATTCTTGATTTTCGTCTTATTTTGGCCTCTAGAATCTTCCGTTAAAATTTTTCCCAGGGCTGGGAATAATTTCATATACTGTGGTAATCGATTCATGGCAATTTTTCTTTCAATGTCATCCAAAGGTCATAGTGTAGCAGGTTATTGAGTTCGTCTCGATGTGTTCATTGTATTGCCTACAGTATTATGAGGTTAAAAATACTTAGTTCCATTTAAAAATATAACAGTGACTTTAATTTTTTATCGAAAAACAATTTGTTATTCAATTTAAGCAACTGGAATTTCTTGTCGCTTCAATACTGATTAACTTCGATAGGAAACATTTTTTTGTCAGACCATCGAAAGGGGCTGAAAAATCGTGACCTATAATTCATGCCTCACCATGTAGATACAAAGAATCGAACAATTTGGCATGCTCCTTGTTCTTGCAATTATTTTATACACGGAATACTTAACGTATCATTAAAACATAACGATAGAAATTTTATTGTTTAGAAAATGTTAACAGACTTCCAATTTTGATGGTAAGTTTAGAATTAATTTGCTCTCGCTTTATTAACGAAGTTATTCAGCGCGGGAAATTTGAATGTTTGTCGTTCGCGTGCTCGAAAGTAGAACAAAATCTTATTGGTATGTTTATAACGAAAGTCCGATTAAATAGCGTTCAAGATTCGTCGAAACAATGTATAATATATGGATACTCTGCAAACATTTCCTGGCTGGTCTGAACAAAGTTTACCAAAGAAAGTTTTTCCACTCTTGGCCACGGAAGTTCGTCGAGATCTCGTGTCGTTGAGAAAACTTGCTTTTTTTTTTTAAATCAGCGCACATTCTTATTCTCTCTGTACATTTCCCCTTTGTTTCTTTCTCTCCGTCCATTTTTATCGTGTAACTTTTTAATATAGACGGAAATTCGAAGCCAATTCGTCGCAGAACGAGTCTTTTACGCGAAACAGTAGAAAAGTACACTGTCGGCCATAAGTTTTGGACCACCAATTCGCTGTTACTTTTCACAGAAGGCACTAATTGCTAGTTAGCTGTGTCTACTCGTAAACTATCATTTATTCTATTGGGTAATTTCATAAGTCTTTGAGTATCTATCCAAAATTTTTTGCTATTAAACTAAATCACAGAACGTTCATCGATACTTGATATTTAGTCTTCTATCAGTTATTAAAATAAGTTCGAGCACAAGACAAATAATATTTTTTAATTAAAAATGAGATTAACCAAATAATTTTAACGACTTGTTGGATGTATTGAAATTCATGTTGTATGAATTTATAAAAATAAACAGGCATCGATGGATGAATTCAGTGACAGAAAATATTCACACAAGCTAATATTTAGTCTATGGATGAATCATATTTTTGTTTAATTTGTACATATGATCTACAATACACTTGAACAAACTTATGCAAAGACTTATGCATGTATGTATACCGACCCAATGTATGTAAAAGGATGCTTCGGTAACTGCTTTATAGAATCACTTACTTCTACAATATCTATAGTGTTCGTGCTATTTACAGGAGCATTAAACTCAAGTGTGCAGGATGACGCTAGTAAATAGAAGAGGCTACGGTTCTTTCTATATGAAAATAAAATAAAACGATCGAAGGGAATATTGCATATTTTAATGTGATGTACATCTTTCCTGAAATGTTTTCTTCTGACTACATATACAATACCAGAATGAATACTTTTATACAACAGTTTCAAGTATATCAACTTTTTAACAATACAAATTTTAAACTTAACGTGTAATATTAGATTTCAAAATTTAATAGATCCATTTTGGAACACGATCAAATGGTTGAAACGTCCTATGAAAAAGAAAGGTTTTTCGAATTACTGAATGAAACTATATTGTTTAATGTTCTATGTTACATAAGAAGTATAACATGTTATATTAATGTACGTACAAAATCGTATAACTAATATGTAGTTCTTAAGTATCTGTAAATGTAGAAAAGTATGCATTACGACTCATTTTAGGTTTAAGTATAGTGCATTTGTATCATAGATTTTTAAGACGTTTGCTAACATTTGACATTTTTCTAAAAACTCAAGTTCAATTATTAAATGACATATACTTTCAATTGTTTTAAAAAGAAGGAATACGATAATAATTCATTCATTGTTCAAGTTTTTGGTGCAAATAAATAAATAACTTTTTTATTATACGAAGTTTCTGTCGTTTACATACTACAGTAACGATTAACTTTCGCTACAATTTGCACGGTTAACTTTCCACTCGACGTTTCAAGTTCTAACGAAACCTGATCCATCAGAAAAGACGAGTCTGACATGCCTATCATAAAGTATTCATTTATCGATGATTTTGTTTAATATTCTACATAAAAAGATTTATGTTTGTATTTTTTAGATACAGTTGCACTTCCATAGAAAATATAGCCAGAGAAAGATAAATCCCATTAAAACATGCAACGTGCGTTAATTCAGTTTATTAATTCCTTTCGATTTAGAAAGAAAAAGATATCGCTTGTCCCCCTACACTATAATAATATAAAATAGTAGTGAATTAAAGAAATGATTTGCACAACTTCATGCATGTATCCAAATTCTAAAAAAGTGCAACGTATCACAGTGTGTAATTAGAAAATAATATAAAAACCTAAGATATAAAAGGTTGATTTATTATTCGAGGTGGAATAAGATATGTATCAATTATTGTAAAAATAACAATTAAACGTTCCTTTTCCAGAACCCTTTAAGCTTCATAAAAAAACTTTCCACACGATAGTCTATAAAACAATCTGTCTTTGACTTATTAACGGTGTGGTCTTAAACTTGCGATCGACAGTGTACGAAAAACGGCGCAAATAGATACAAAAAAATTAGAAAGAAACAATATGCTTGTGCTGATATTATGATATTAATGTACCTATATATATATGAATAAATATATATATATATACATGTGAATATTATATATACATTTCACATTTGCGTGTACAAATGTATATAGATTAGTAGATAGATGCATGCTGTGCGAGCCAGGCTCCAAGTGACGTCAGAAAATAGGTCAGGATTTAAGCTCGATTCTCACGTTCTATTGCCTGGATACTCTGCCAATCGTGGCGTTAATTAATCGAGCGTTAATTATCGAAAAAAATCGTTCCACGTTTTGGGTAAGGCAAACGCGTCTATTTAAATTTGTATCTTAATATCATAACTAACCTTTATCCATTAATTTTCACATAAAACTCTACAAAAAGAGCATATAATACCATCTTATTACCTATAAAAATCCCTAATGTTAGGTAAAGCGATTTCTACACCAAATTCATCGTGTAGTATTATTTTTAAAATTTGATCGTTACATAAAATTATTATTATAGAGATAGAATTTCACGAGTTATATAGAACTCTACAGTCTCTTATACCTGTGAAAACTAGACGAATGCTAAAAATCTACAGCTCTTTAAAATCTAAAAAATTGTTTTTGAAATCTTGTAATAATTTATGAAAAACTAAAGAATTTTTTTTAGGACCGAGTTTTCATTTCGATATTGCGACGTGAACCGAGGTTAAATTCTTGCTAATTTTACGGAAGACAGGTGAAGTAAATATGCAGTGACATGCGTAGATCACTCTTTTACGGGTCCACTTCCGCTTTGTGAAATACCATCGTAATTGGAGGGTGTAGCGAGCGTCGGGGAAGGGTGGATATGTCTCTAGAACAAAGGTTCTTTGGAACTTCGCAGAAAACAAGCTGCAGCACTCTGCGAAATACTTCGTTCCGAAAGCGAATGGATACTCGAGTGAAAGCAAACGATGTAAGAGGAGTATATCGAATAGCGAAGTATAGTTCCCGACTGTCGGTTCTTTTCGTTTCTCGAATCGCTTTTGACATTTTTCCTGTCGCCGTTCATCGAGCGGATCCCAAAGTTTCCAAACTATCGAAATTATATATTTTGCACACGTTTGGAACATTTCTTCAGCACCATCGGTGGCGTCGAAGATGTTCGACTTGGTCGATTCAAATGGAACACTCTGTGCGAACAACAAGCCGACGAGTGGTAGGTGTTCAACATTTAATTTACGCGTTTAAATAACCCACGCGTTATTACGGGTGGGTAAAGAAACTTTTGCAATTTCGTTGCTGACGGGGGAACGTTTTTTTGGAATCCTCTCGGATGGACCGGGGAGTCTCGATCGCGACACACAAGGTGTAGTAATTTCGAACTTATAACGACGTTAAAGCGAATTATATGAATAAATGACGTACTTAGTTTGGCTCGGTTTTATTCCGTGCGCTTCGAGGTCCTTTTCCAGCTGCCGTATCCTGATCCTCGCCATGTCGAGTTCGTGCTTAACCTTCCACAAGTGAGTGTCGCAGATAGGATCCCTGCATCTGTGGTACCTCAGAATGTCCTGCGCCTCGTATACTGCCCCACGGAACGTCAAAGACTTTCCCATGCTCTTTAAAAAGAAATATTCCAAAAGGTATTAGAAAAAGTATTCAAACGAAGTAATTTAAAAAGAATTAAGTTGCTTCCTTTATGAATATTTATTTCGTTACGGGAGAACTCTTTGATACGTGTAAGCATAATCTGAGGTGACGGAATATTGTATATGCTAATAGGGAAAGAATAATAGTGGTTTTTTTATGATAGAATTATAAATTATCATTCAGAAAATAAATTGACTCGTGTTTTCAACATAAATTAATTTGGTACATATACGATTAATATAATTAAAATTATAATAAAAAATCTGAGAATACAACGAGTGTAGAAAAATCAACTATATATTGCTATGTTACGTGCGGGGTAGGGGAGGATGATGGTAGGTGGTTGTTAGCGACCCCGCATTTCTGCATTATACAATACTCATATGGATGAAATACATCTTTTTAATGTATCACTAGCCACCTTCCAAAGAAAAATCCAAGTATTTTTGTATTTACATGTTTGTTACTATATTCTTGTGATATTTTAGTACTCTGTATTCTGTTTTACCTGTATAAGTTTGTAAAAGAGGTAATTGCTCGTTAAAATGTATTATTCAATAATAATAATAATAATTACAATTATGTTTATAGGACTTTTTTATGTACTGGTTGGACTGTTTAATTCTGTGACATTCTGTTGAATGAAATAGATAAAAGTTTAACCCGTTCGAATAAACATCACGAATAAATTAGTATATAGTACATCGATTTAATCGGTCAATCATTACTTCAATAGAATTTTGCTTGCTCGCTGAATCGAACTATAGCTCCCATGCAATGCTTCTGAATATACGATTGATACTGATACGAATATTAGATAAACAACGTCGGGTGTGACACGATCGATATTCTAAAGGGTGAAATTGATTACGCAGGCTGGAAGCTTACCAAGCTGAAAAGTGCGCAACAGCCACCACCGTCGCTTCGCGCCAGATGCTGTCTGACATATTTGAAATATAAATGTTCTAGAAGTAGAAAAGCTGCGGCCAACAGAATTCCCATCATCAGTAAGAGAAACGCTGATAAGAACTGTTCCAATGCTAAGGGATCGCTGCTCTTTTGAACCTCTTTCCCCGGCTTACACGTGCCCGTCATCCAGTATCTTCTGAGACGTTCCAAGTCCCCTGAAATATTTAAAACTCTGGCTTTAACAGGGAAATTTGAATTGAAAGACTGAACAATAGCATTTTGATCAACTTCGAAACCTCGTAATTTACAGAATTTATTAGCTCGTCCCATAACTTCGTGTCCCGAGTTTTGTACTAGAACTTATTCCTCTTAAACTCATTTTTCAATATATAATTTAAGCAAATGCATTTCTTATCAATCCATCCATTTATACCTTTCTAATATTTTCAATAGTTTGCGACATGTTGAAGTAAATACGTTTTACTGCTTCTACTTTGAGGTTAAATGTCATCCCTTCAACATGGACGATAAAACAGAATAAGGGTCAAATATTTTTGGTCGTTCTGCCAGTTTGCCAAATTTAATCGAAACTAGCGATGGACACTTTGATACGTTTGGTTTTAAATTATGAATTTTAACCCATGTCAATTCAAGAAAGTTGAACGGCACGAAGTTATAGAACTATATAATAATTATATCCACCTTGAAACCAAGCAAGACTGATCTGATTCGTTTCTTCTACTATATAAAGCAGACAAGAAAATGTCTCGGGTAGACTCTACGAAAATAAGACAAAACATCAAGAATAACGAAATTTCTTGAGAGGCTTTCGTTATAATCAATAACAATTTATAAATAGCTGATACGATGTACAATAATTGCACGACGTGTTATAGAGTTTTTCGTAGGTCAGCATATTATAAAATATATTTAGAGTGACACTGCAATAGACATCGATACCGTTGTTTCTGTAGTCCAATAAACGCTTGTTGAACATCTGTAGGTATTTGGAGTTTCTTGAAAACGCGATGCCGTATCCTGTCATGGCGTACCAGGAACCTACGGTCAATAATCGACAGTCTTCGTCTTGCGCTACCAAATAGTCCAAAACCGTTCCATCGTAGATAAAAGCGTCCATTTCTCTGTCGCAAAAAAGGAACAATGTTTCTCAGAGAACCAAAGAAAAGAAATTCAAAGGGAATCGTTGAATCGAACGAACCACGCGACCGATCGATCGATCCAGGCTTTCAAAACTCTTTACTTGGAATGACAAAGTTCAGTCTTATCTCAGCTGCGTTGCTCGAAGCTTTCTCTATTTCTCGACAAAATAATCCAAGGGAACTTCTCAAGATTTAACCCGTTGGCTCCAGGTCGGACATTATTGATTAATCGTTTGTCTTTTCTGACTATGTTTCGGTATCTTTCCGGAATTAATTTCAAAACAAGAATATGTTTTCTCAACTTTTCACATAATAAACGTACGAGGGTCGTTCAATAAGTTCTTAGAAAAAGATAAAAAAATAAATTATTTTAGCTAGATTTTTTTTTATTTTTCAACATAATTTCCTTTTAGCTTTATACACTTTTCCAAGCGTTTCTCCAACTATTTTAAGCCATCTAAAAAGTAAGATTTCGGAAGGTCCTCAAAATAGGTATCTGTTTGGGCGGTGACCTCGTTCGACGAGAATCGTTGTCCACTTTTTTAAGTTTGGAAATGAAAAAGTCACTGGGAGTCAACTCCGGTGAATACGGTGGATGTTGTAATAATTCGACCTTTAATTCCATGATTTTGGCCATCAAAACTGCACAGGTGTGCACCCGCGCATTGTCTTGATGCAGGAGGAAGTTTCTTGCTTCAATCGACAATAAAAAAGACACCATGTGGTGGATATAACTGAGACTTTGACATCTGTCTAGTGAGTTATGATTAGACTGCGGATTTTTATGCAAATTCATATATTTATTAATAAAATTAATAAAATAAGAGCTTCGTAGAGGGTTCTTTCAACCCCTAAATACAATAATTCTTATCTTACTTGAGTTTTTGTTATAGTTTTGTGTTCAGCGCGCACACTTATCTTTTTCGATTCTGTGATGCGCTTCAAGCGGTAACTTAATAGCGCTTGAATATTTGGTGGTTGGTGTAATGATTGAGATACAATTAACTATTTTAATATTTAATAATCTATCTTAGTCTACTACTGCGGTCTTCACCTTTCTTGTTTAACCTTGCTAGCTGGTTTTAAAAAATGTTTATTTGATGGTAACCGATTCTAACTTTTTGTTGTTATGCTTGTCCCCGTCAGAAAAGCTACCCTTAAATACAAATCGGCCTTGGGTTCTGACGGGGATGAGGCATGCGGATTGGCTGCTGTGGTATTTTGAATTTTGTCAGGGAAGGCGGTCGTTTTTCCCTGATTGGAGAAGTATTTGTCGAAAATATTACAGGTGACCGCCTCCAAGCCATCGGTCACCGTTAGGTACCGAGGGCACCATCGAATGACGTCCGGGAAATTCCGCGTGCCTCGACCGTAGCAGGTAATAATTTTTATGAAGCGCCTTGACCTTACTAAGGCATGCAAGACGAAATAAAACTGAAAAATGTTTAAGCCTAAAATAGAGAACCAAATTGCGGATTATAAAACGGCGTGGAAGACAACCGATGGTCGATGGCTTCATAAACTTATTCTTGCTACGGGTCAGGGGGGTTTCTTTAAACCCCGCTGTAATTAATGTTGTTACCTGGTAACATTTTGCATATTAAATGCATTCTATAGTTTCTTGACAATTTAAATTTCCCATAAATGTATGAGTATCCGCAGTCTAGTTATGATACTTACTAAAAACAAACCATTTTCGATGCTACGAGTGTCAGGTCTTGGATTTTCTAAGGACTTATTGAACGACCCTCGCATGTATTCTATTGCCTACCCCTGTGAAAATTTATGTTCTTTCCAATTCTACACCAGCTTGCTTACACTGTAACGATGAGTAATGATTGAAAAATTAGCCAAAATATATGTTTGGTTGCAATATGCAAATTCGCCCCCGGGCAAAAATTCGTTTGACGCGTCCGTTTTCCATGAAATTTACTCCTGGCAAACTGTACGGCGATCTAATAAACACCGTCTACCAGTCGGCTGCTAATTATAATCGCGGGCCAAGCAAACTTATTCGAAGATTAGCGACGACGAAGCTATTGAAACTTGGACAACGAGGTGTGTACGTATGCATTAAACGGCGAATGCAGTTCAACGTCGTTTGTTCGAGTTTAACAAACAACTGTTCGTAATTTGGGCAATTGCCGTGTTGTTATCAAACTTAGAGCGATCAGGTTTCTCCGCTTACCCACTGATAACAGCTTCAATTCCTTCGGTGACGCTGGTCTTGTTGAAGGCCTTCATGTACGCATGCATCTCCTTGAAGTATTTCGCGAGTGTGCTGTCCGTGTGGCTCCACTGTATGGTGCCGAATTTGAACATTGGTTTGTGTGACCACGGTTTGGCCAGCCGGTGATCGTCCACTCCGCTGAACTCGTGGAACTCTTCCCTCGTGATCATGAAGGCAGCCAGATTAGCAGTGTATATGGCCAGGAACACCACCGCGAACAGCGCCCATACGTTCGTCATGAATCTGAACAATTACGATCGACTTTTTCTATACCATATGGCTATTTCATAAGAATTTCATTGTATTTCATTTTAAATTATCACTATAATCAATTTTTACTATCCGAATAAAAACTAACTATTCTTATTATTATATTGCTTTTTTTATACCATAAGGCTATTTCATAAGAATTTCATTGTATTTCATTTCACAATATCACTATAGTCAATTTTTACTATCCAAATAAAAACTAACTATTCTTGTTATTAAATAATTTTTTTTTTATACCATAAGGCTATTTCATAAGAATTTCATTATGTTTCATTTTAAGATATCACTATAGTCAATCGTTACTATCCAATTACTCGTGCAAAGTACAACTTCTTTTGCATTAAAAAAATTTACGTTGCGTGAAATTAGCAAACGTAAACCTTGATTCGCGACTTCCAAACATTTTAGTAGTCGAGAAAATTAAATCGCAATGGGTTACAATATTTGCGTGTACAGGGTGTTCATTAGGGTGGTCCTTAGCTACAGGGGTCAACATTTTTTTTCAATTTCTTTTGTGCATCCCAGTATATTGTGACACTTGATGAAGAAATTATTTGCATACAATTCTAGCGTGATTGGACGAGAAGAACGTGTGCTGCATTTGAATTGAAGTTTTGAAATTTTAACGATTTCGCATTGGAGTCGAACGTACTTGTATCGTATTATTCGAAATTTATTAACCGATATTTTTTGGTGAAATTATAATTCCTTTAGTGTAAAATAATACTATCGTTCAATTTATTATTAAACAATAATATAATTATATTTTAATAAATAATATTTTATATTATTGCACTTTATTCCCATCAAAGTATTGAATAACTTTTATCGAAAATATTTTTTGTCAGTTTGGCGTATATGCCTAAAAAGCACTGCATATGTACAATTTAATATTGTTTATTTGTTATATTATATATATTACATTGAAAAATTTGAACAAAATTTTCGTTTCGTTTCCAAAATGCTACTACTATTTTGCTGATTTTTCGTATTTTTTCGTTTCTCTTTGCTCAAGTTGCAACTAAACTTGTACAAGTTAATATTTTTTAATTTTTTTAAGGATTCAATGTCTATAAAATTATTATATACTTTTGTACAAAATATTTCGTAGGACTCGTTCAAACTAATATTTTAAGTAGTATTCATAGTATAAAATTCTGAGTTTTTCAAACTAGATATTCCAGTAATGGCGATAAGTTTCACCTCAAACTCGATACGACGTCCTACGCCGATGCAAAACCCGTGGAAATACTGTTCGGAAATGATGTGCGCCGTAAACTGTGCAAAATTAATGAATCAATATCGTTAAATGCGTTTACCATGTTGGATCACCGTTGTCTGTTTTGATGCGTGACACGTTGATGTTTGATTTGCGGTATTGTGCGGTATCCTACGTTTATTTTATAATCAGAGGTACGATAGAACTTTCCATATGATTGTGATTAGATTTGTAAACAGCACTTTCACTATTTTACGTGCATAATGCCACATGTTTTGTCAATGAATATTGAATGATATATAAAAATGATACTAAAACCAACTTCATGAGAATGTTCTCTTATTAAAACAACGTTGTATCATCAGACAATAATATCTACTTATAGACTAATCATTTTCTGGTAGAAACATTCCTCGATATACGCAGTGACTGTAAAAAGTATTCGTACACCAATCAATTTCAACAAAAACTTTATAGAAATTTGTTTATTATAACAAAATGTCAATTAAAAATGCATACGTAATCTCAGAAATTTCATTAAAAATGAATTGTTTATTTATAATTTCTCTGAAAATATCAACAGAAGTCTTAAATGTGGTCGAAAATATAATAATTACGAGATAATCCATGGAATATTAACATAGTTATCATCAGTATATCTGGAGGCGTTGTCAATATACATTTTTTGCAATAAACAAAATTCTATAAAGTTTTCGTTGAAATTGGCTGCTGTACGAATATTTTTTTTTCGCATGAATATACAGGCTGTCCAAAAAGTTTGGGACCAAAACTTATACTACGTGTTACTGAGGTCAAACAGATAAAAAAAGTTTATATAAACTTATACACGAAAATACTTTATTGAAAAGATATGAGCTTTTAAAAATATTTATGATTTATTGTGGCAGTTGTAAGAAATGTTTGAAGATTCCTTCTTCTGCAATAATGCAGGCTTCCATTCGTCGAATTAATGAATGTCGAACTCTTTCAAATATTTTATCTGTATTGAAAATAATAGTAAATACATTTTAAATACATTCCCGATTGAACGTTTCTTATAACTGTCACAACAAATCATAAATATCTTTTCAATAATGCATTTTTTGCCATAAGTTTATATGAATTTTGTTCATTTATTTGACTTCTGAAACATGTAATATATGTTTGATCCCAACCTTTTTGGACACCCTGTATTATTCAACAGAATTAAATTAGGTAATAGTATTTGCACACCTTTTTAAGTTCTGTTACGTTTGCCTAATATCGTTATCAATTTTAATCATTGTTCACTATATACATACCTATATCATAAGACAGCTGAGGAATTACTATAATACGAAGTGATAACGCCCTCAGTGAGCGACGTGTTGACTTCAATTCGACCGTATCATATCGATTTGAACCCAACTTCTTGCAAGGGAAGTGTCAAGACTGTCTAACCCAGATTTCAATGATAGTGTTGTGGAATCGAATGTCTATATCAATCAAACGCGCGGCCTAATTGATTAAATCTTGCGGCCATTTTGACTTTTCCAATATAAGTATGTTTGTTTAAATTCTACCCTTTCCTTTTACTTACATATTGATGAAATATTTACATATATAAACTATAAATATTTATTATTACTTAAGAATCCCATTATATAATATTTATTAATAAAATTAAAATTATTATATTTAACTTTCTGTAAATTAAGTAAATTATCATTAATTTTAAATTAAAGTACAATTTAACTTTATATGTACATCTACATCAATAATTATAATTCATTAATAAATAAAATTTATATAATAATGTCAACATTGTACCATATATACATTATCTCATCTGTAATATTTGGTTTACTTCTTAGATTGTCCATTAACTTAAACTCATATTTGATTTCTTTTTTATTATTACTATGTAATCGTGTGATAATCACATAATAATTAAACAGTTATTACGCACTTTAAAGATTTACAATTATGATTATGTGCATCAGACAGTAATTTTCGTGAAATATTAATAAAAATATCCACTCTTTTAAAACGGCCACAGTACTTACGACTTTTGAATTGTGTCTCTACGTATCCAAGAAACATTTCAGAGCGAATATTAAATTTGTAATTTCAAACATTTTGTATACGATCCTCAAATGTTCAACAATTTTGTTTCTTTTTAAATTGCTTCTAAAATGTATTTATAACCCCTTGTTATCCGTGACAAACGTCGCGTTATTCGATAACCTCTATCGACATTAATTTGACGTACGACATCCGATCTGATATCGGCGCAAGTTAGCAAAACCGGGATATTCTCATCGACGGGGAAATTTTTATGGGTTAGGATGCACGCATCGATACGATTACTATTATCGACGTTTCGAACGAGACTGGCCAATTATTATTTTTTGCAACGCGTCTTGTTAGTCAAAACAGCGATCGAAACGGCGAAACAATACGATACGATACGGAGTAACGTTCAGCATTTAAATTATGGTTGACAACGTTCTCGAAGAAGCCACCTTTAAATAATTGATCGTGTTCAAAGAGATTAAGTAAAACGCGAAACGAGCACATTTAAATTCACGGTTCGCTATTCAAGAAACGAGATGCACATTTTTCACGTATAATGTTAGGGGTAGATACAGTTTCTTGGCACAAACGAAAGTATACCACCGCCGGGAATATATTATGCCTCGAGAATTCGCACGCTATAATCTAAGATATTACTTTTTGATTTAAACGACTTCCTCTTACTTTTGTCGTAAATTATATCGCGTTGTTGCGGGGCCAACGGAACGAGTTACTGGCGCCCGCGTTGCCGTGCAAAATCTAATTAGCCAAATTATTGTTGGACTTACAGTTTCATGAGATCGCGGAAGGCTATTTTCTTGATAAACGGTGCGATACCGAGTATCGTGTGATTTAACGTGTAACCAGAACCGTTTCAAAGGATTGTGCTCTGTCTACGACCGTTTTATTGCATTAGAGATTCAGAGAAAATAAAGTCGAGTCGCGAGACATGTAAACGCATTAACCGAATTTCGCGATCTCTTTCACCCTTATCCGTCCATTCGTGGATTATGATTTATAACGAAGATTTTACCGACCTGGCGGTGAATCCCCTGGGAGAATCGATATGGACGGCTGCCTGAAATAATACGGCCCACACCAGCCAGTACGTGCGACAGAAAGAGAATCGATGGTTTGGCGACGGATTCTTCTGGAAGTAACAGAAACGAATCGTTTTAACAAGGTTCCACTTTTAATCGCTGACGGAATGTAACGTAACGAGAACAATGCAATAATAAGAAAACGTTTTACTCTGCGTGGGGGATATTGAGGGCAGAAGCATCAATAATTATTAAAATTCATAACAACGTATGCCATGTTACAAACATGTTTCGAGAAACGAAAGCTACCTCTAGTTTTTCTAATAAAGCGTTTAATACTTTTGTATGCTATATGAAAATATACTTAAAAACTTCGTGAAAAGAATTTGTTGTGCACAAAAATATTTGTTCCTCTGGACCATTTTATTAAAAAAAAAAAAATTGACTCTATGTCTTAATTGGTATCTAAGAAAACAGTTTGTAACGCTTTATTTATACGACACGGTATATCAGTAATGAGCGTTGTAAATTTCAGTATACATATATGTATGTACCTACTTGTCTCGTAAGACGCTCCAGTGAAATATACGTTCCAATTAACTTGTTTTCAAGTGCATCCAACCACATATTCATGCGAAATTCAGGGGACTCTAAATTTAATAATTCGAATAATGCATGCTGGTAGATAGTTGACAAGTGTTAATTTTAGTCAATTCAAGTATTATACAGTGTGTTACTGGACGGGTGGTACCGTCGGGTAGTGGGTGATTCTACCTACAAAAATAAGTCGGAAAAAAGAAATCAAATTTGCTCATTTGAAGCCTCGTTTACGAGAAAATCGAGTTTGAAAATGTGTTGATAATACGTTTATTATTATTCGGTATTAAGAACCGCTGTATCAAAATTTACAGATCTTTTACGACCAACAGATTTATGGTAATTATGAAATGCACCGCACTCAATTAATCTCTGCTCTGTTTTCTGTATCACTCTTTTGTTTGGATGGCGACTGTAATACTTACAATTAGCTCCTGTTGTTGCGCTCCTAACGCTTTCGCCATGTCAACCTATTCACGATTGCTGTAGCGAGACATAGTTACAATTCGACTGATACAAACAGACTAATAATAAAAGTAGCCGGTAGTCGTACTACTGGAGACGGAATGTAAACATTACAGAGGACAACGAATATAAAAATATAAACGAAAATGATCATGCTACGTGAGGGCTTGAAACAATTCTCAAACTCGATTTTCTCGTAAACAAAACTTCTAACAGAAGAGTTTTGTTCCTTTTTTTCGACTTATTTTCGTACGTAGAATCATTCTCTGTCCGATAGTACTAACCATCCGGTAACACCCTGTATATTTGAAACGAAACATTTCCAACTCTGTATTCAAGTTCTCTTTAATTTATACAGACACGGTTAATCTGTATTATAAAACATTTTGTCGTTAGCAGTAATTAACGGTACATACATGTATTTAGGAAACTGTTCTATTTAGACATATATCTTGTAAAAATAGTAGCTACATACGTGCAAAATATTACTTGTATAATACATAAACCGCAACAGTTGTGAACTTCTAAATCAATATAATTGAAAATACTGTAAAATAATGATTACGCATAAATTTTCATATGATAACTTAATAATAAAATTTTGTTGTGTAATATTCTATTTTCGAGATAATTGAATTAAAAAATTCGCTAGGTACGCGATTAAATATGTAGTTGGTATGTCTGACCATTATTCACTATTTCTACTTGCATTGATGCTCAATTCCTATTGCTCACGTATTGAAAGGATTTCCAAAAATTTTATTCCACCTTTTCGATTTATTTTTACACGTAGAATAAAATAGACGAATGGATAATATAATCGTATAATATTCAAAAATGAAATAAGGCGGTAGGACATCATAGACTGAACTATGAACCATATTTACGATCAAACATTGATATTTCTTTTGAATATTTCTTTTTAAAAAAAATAGGTTACTTTATTTTTTTAAATAAAAATTTAAAACGTAAACATGTGCACAATATATAAACATATTTAACACATAAGTAGAAACAGTAAATAATGATCAGATGCGCCAGTTAAATCGTATTCGGTAACAAGTATAGCTCAAAAAATCATCAAATTCAATTATCTCGAAAACTAAGCATTACACATTTTACATGTAGGATTACTTCTTGCGCGGTTGTACCATTCCGAAGAAACCAATAATCCTACAAGTTTTATATGATTATCTTATCTACGATAACAAAGCAAATATGATGTCTTCGATCAATAATAAAATCAGAACAAATGATCACTATAAAACGCCATAGGTGCATTCAATGTTAATGCAAATGCATGAAAAATTCACACCACTCGCCTGTCAAACTTATACTTCAAACTGTCAAATAAGTGTTTCGTAATAATAACGTCCTAATTTAGCATGCACTGTTGTGTATGAAGAAAGAAATAAAAGTAAACTTGCGAGCACTACGTTTGCAGACTAATAACGTTCAGCTATAAATTACAAGCTTCCCAAGTAGCAGTTTTACAATAAAAAGGAAAATGATGAAATTGGGAAAAAGGAAACGAGTAATGCAGCTGACGTTGTATGTACATTAAAGAGCAGGGACGCTATCGGTCGGTCCATAATATAATTAATCTCCTTTTTCGCTACAGTGTCAGACGGTGGAGTGTCATTAAGATTAACGGTATCGTCCGGTGACTAATTTGCTGAACGGGAAGATGGTGCTCGGAGGTGAGAAACCATACATAAATAAGAAGAAGCGAAATTAATAATACCAGTTTCCGCGCAGGGCCTGAAGGGTTTACCTTCATGTTGAAACCGGATGGTGATAACCATTCGAAGAGTAGTATCATTATCGTGGCCGCGTGTATGGCGACAATGCCAACTAGCATCCAAGATGCTGTGTCGAACGGTTCTGAAAGCAACAATGTTATAGTCGTAAATTATTTACAATGAGTATTAGAAACAGTCGACGTCCACAACAGCCACTGGTGATTCAGTCAATAAAATTCCATATACAGTGAGTGTAAAAAGTATTCGTACACTAGTCAATTTGAACAAAAACTTTGCAGAACTTTGTTTATTACAAAAGTATGTTAACAAAAACATGCATACATATTCTTAGAAATCTCTAGAACAAATGTCATTAACAACAAATTATTTATTTATATTTATTATGAAAATATTAACAAATTTCCAGAAATTGACCTAAAATATACGCGTAATAAGTATTCGTACAGTCTTTGAATCGTAACATTCCACATAGAACGATTACAAGATAATCCATCATATGTAAACATACTTAGCATCAGTATGTCTGGAGACGCTGTCGGTATAGGTAGTATCCTGAATTCAAACATTATCAACGAAATTATCAGTAAAATGGGACGAAAACGCAAGGAAACCTCTGAAGAAGAAAGGAAAATTGTTATAAATTTACATAATAAGTGTAAAACACTGAGTGAAATTTCTAAAGTTTTAAATAGACCGAGGTCCACGATTCAAGGAATCATTGCCAAATATGGCGATCGGAAAACTGTAAAAAATAATCCAAGAAACGGACGTAAACGAATAATAAATGAGTATACCGGCCGATGGATAATTCGAAAAATAAAGCAAGATCCAAAGATAAGTGCGGTGAAAATCACAGCTGAACTTAAAAATGATCTGGACATTAATGTATGCAGTAGCACAGTGCATAATTTTTTACGGGATAGAGGATATCACGGCAAAGTAGCTCGTAAGAAATATTTCGTAAATGAAATTAATAGAAAGAAACGATTGCAATTCGCGAAAGAGTACGTTAATGTTCCTATGGAGCACTGGAACGGTATTATATTTACCGATGAGAGTAAATTTAACATATTTGGGTCAGATGGACGATGTACAGTATGGCGGAAAAAAAATACCGAGTACGAAAAAAGAAATTTGAAGGCGACCGTAAAGCATGGAGGAGGATCAGTCACAGTTTGGGGTTCTATGAGTGCGAGCGGGGTTGAATCCCTCCATTTTATCGATGGTATCATGGATCACAAAATGTACATCGATATTCTAAAAGAGCATCTTCAGGTTAGTGCAAATAAAATGCAGTTACAGGGCAATTATATATTTTTGCAAGATAATGATCCAAAGCATAATGCTTATAATACACGTCAGTGGATCCTATATAATATGCCGCAGCAATTAAAAATTCCTCCACAGTGTCTAGACGTAAATGTGATAGAGCACTTATGGAGTCATCTTGAAGAAAAAATTCGAGACCATCACATTTCTTCGAAACAAGATTTAAAAAATGCACTTTTAGAAGAATGGAACAAAATGTCTAGTACTATAACCAAAAATTTAGTAAATTCAATGCCGCAAAGGCTTAAAGCGATTATACAATCTAAAGGAAATCCCACTAGATACTAAAATAGCAAATAGACTGATTTTTGTTACGTTTATGTACTAAAATTTATAGTTTTTGTTGTAAAATTAGAAGTGTACGAATACTTATTACACGTATATTTCACGCCAATTTCTGGAAATTTGTTAATATTTTCATAATAAATATAAATAAATAATTTGTTGTTAATGACATTTGTTCCAGAGATTTCTAAGAATATGTATGCATGTTTTTGTTAACATACTTTTGTAATAAACAAAGTTCTGCAAAGGTTTTGTTCAAATTGACTAGTGTACGAATACTTTTTACACTCACTATATGTCTTACACGGTACAGTGTAACCTCGATTATTGCTCGGGAGTCTCGTTCATTGTATTGTGTCGACAAATGGATGGGATGGATTGTCAGATACACCGCTGGCCGATATTATAAGTTCACTCCATTTTTTGCTCGTTTATTGTTATGGTTAGAGTTATTGGTTTCTTTTACAGAATTACGTAAAAATATACGAAAGAAAACGTGATGGAATAAAATTTGGCAATATTTACGTAAACAAGTAATTTATAAATAAATGTTCTGTTATAATTAAACTTATAATTTTGTCCATCCTGCGAACAGCATTTTTCTTAAAAAGGTTAACAAATCATTTTTTATGTAAATATTACAAATTTTTTTTCATAGATTTATCTTTCGTGTATTTTTGCGTAATACTGCAAACGGAAAAAAGCGATAGTTCTAACTATCACTATAAACGAGACTGAAGAATGAAGTGAACTCATAGTATTGGTCAGCAGTGTATTAACGTGTGAAATTGGATGAACTGGAACTGGTAATAGCGAACGTAGGTAATTGCATGAACCTCAATCATTGAAAGAACATTCCTGGTGCTGCAATAATCAAGGCTCTGCTATATCTTGTTATCACACTTAAGTGCATTTCACACATTATTCTACCGTACACTGTCCTATTCGAGGAGTGTTAAGAGAAGTTTTACGCTTGTACGTCCAGAGATAAAAGGTACCTTCAAGAATGTATAATAGAAATACTTCACAAATCGATTAATCTCAAATTTATATAAACTATTAACAGTTCTGTAGAAAACAGTTATTAGAAAAGTGCGTCAAGAAAGTAAATATTTACCAAAATTTTATCAAGAGTTTGATCATCCATGATAAAATAATGTATATGAAATGACAGTTTACAACGAATGAAACAATCAAATCTCTTTCTAGTAAGTTTGGTGCTTTATTAGTTTTTGATATCACTTCCGTCATTATACTATTGTTTTATTTTATTAGTCGAGTATTATATGACTTTTGTATTTAATAAATATATATGTGTTAATAGGAGGCAGCGAAATTTTTGAATTTTGATATTTGTGGTACATATTTTTGCAAAGGTTGAGAACTCTGGGAGCAATGTATGTTTAAAAATAATCCAAATGTGATCGTGTTTGTATTTATTTTCACCTGGTAAACTCCGCCAATCCATTGAGCATAGTCTCGTGACAATATAACTATAAGTCCACTTTTAATTTTCAATGATAAACGAAATTCGATATCGCGTACAACGAGAATCGCGTTTGTCTGCGGTTGCACGTGTGAACGGATTTTTCGAGCCGAATAAACAATATCAATGGCGGGGACGATTCCGTTGCATCAAAGCGGATGACACAAATGCCGCAGTTACTGTCATACAAAATGAAATCTCAGCACGACCTGCCAAATGATCCTGTGGAACAATAAGGATCGAATATTTGGATATAAAGTAGAATCCACACATTTCTCGGACCCCCATTGTGTGAATTTAAAAGTAATCATTACTTTTTAGTTAATTATAGTATTAAAAATTGTAGAAATACTTGATGTATAACAAAAAAAAAAATGAGAAATAATTCTATTATGGCATTAAAACTTTCATGTTATATCTAAAGAAAACTCTGAAATTCTGGTGAATTAAAACTTGGATTGATATCAAATGAGAAGAATATTGAATGATTTAATTTATTGTACACATTTTTAAATTGTCATTAATCTTTTGTGGGTTAGTATTTCTAATGCTATAATCAATATTTTTTGGTAGGCCTGCGCCAACTGAGAGTCGTGTTTATGACTGAGACCTCGAGTAAGATGGTAAAAATTTAGTAGATAAAACTGTCATTTAAGGTAAAATTGTTGTTCTTAAAATATAAAAGTAATTTATAATAGATAACAAGTACATGTTCTAATACCGAGCGAAATTAAATAACAGCGTATAATTACTGATTCTGTTTTGTAAAAACTGAGTTCATAATTTCAGTAATATTCCGAACAATAGTAAAATGAGTGTGGGTGGGAGGCACATGTTAAATGACCATTATGACAATATAGTAGTCCTGCAAAGTTGTTAAAATTGATGATAACAGTAATGAAAGTTCCGTGGTTTTCGATCAACGTTAAATAAAGTTAGTAAGTTATTCGACGTAAACGACTAAATCTGAATATTAAAAATTAATACAGAATTATGCTAATGTCAAGAACTCGTGGAATGAATTTATCGTGTCGTCACGAAATGCTTCCAAAAGTAATTTGATTTCACAACCTGAAAGTCAGATCTACTATTAATAACAAGAGTTTCGCTCTTTCTCATTAATTAGACCAGAATCGTAAAATTTTTTACGAGACCAAAACTTTGATTTCACATAATTGTAAATTACACGACTTAAAATTTGTTTTAGTACTTATTTTCGTAATCTTCCAAAAATTCATAAATCCTATTCAAATGTATTTCCTTTAATATTTCAACCTGAGAATTAATTGTTTTTAGTAAACTCCTGTCACTTATACAGGGTGGGCCGAAATTCGTACTACAACCGTGCAAGGGATGATTCTACATGAAACAGATAAGAAAAAAATTTTGTATAACATTTTTTTATCCGTTTTCGAGAAAATCGATTTTAAAGTTTGTTTGGCTTTGTGAACGATTTACCACCAGAGATATTGTTTAAAAACATTATTTATTACGTGGTTAAAGCAGTACAAGGTGTTCCTACTGATAATTAATTTTCTATACTTTATCACTACTACCAAGTATTGTTGAAAATGTCCTCTTCTTTGCAGCATGCACAAGTTTGTTCAACGAATTCTATCTGAATAAACTATAACTATGAATGGACGACAACTAAATGGTTCACAAAGATAAACAAACGTTAAAATCGATTTTCTCGAAAACGGATAAAAAAATATTGTACCAAACTTTATTCCTATTTTTGTCATGTAGAATCGCTCCTTGCTCGGTTGCGCTACGGATTGCGACCTACCCTGCACATGGACGACGTAGCAGTTATAGCGTTACAGTCATATATCTGAAATCAAGAGTTAGACGCTCAATTTATAAAATTGAGCATAAACACTTACCAAGGAAGGCAGTAGGAGATATAATACCGGTTCTCTTAGCTACCACAATTGCGATTCCAGTTTCCATGTACGGTACAGTGAAGTCAACTACGGCTTCCCTTTCAGAATTAATCATTAAAGACGTCATCACCATGTCGGTCTTGCGATTCACCAGGTCCGCAATTAGACCATTCCATTTCCCATTCTACGGACAAATAGTACGCGACAATGCCTTCTGTCCATATTTACGTTTAGTCCTTGCTACGAATCATACTCGCGTGGCGTTATAACGATCTATATAGCTGACTCGATCAACGGCCATGATAAATTTAGACGCGTCGTTTACAAAATTAAATCTGACGAGTACGCGTACGAACGTAAATGCATAGACAGTCGAACGTGTGCATTTACCGGTGTCGGTACGGCACTCTAACGCTACGCCTTGAAAATCCATTGTCGATGCAAATAATGGGATACCGTTAATGGACGCAAGCGCAATTACGCGTGAAATTAATCTATATCGCTGACGCGTCGATATCGCTTCGCGGAATTAAAACCTCGGAGCTCGGATTAAATGGACTATGCCGGTGGCTGCGTCGACGTTGGAACTTTCAAGACGCTCGTAACTCGCTATAGCGATTATTGAAAGTAAATCCTTCCTTCGGAGAATCAAGATCACCTACTAATTGGTTTTATAGGAAACGATCGCACGATCAATTAACGCTTATCCGGTTTCTCAATAAAACGCTTGAGCGTGAATTTCCAGGGGATGTTTCCGAGAGGACTGTTCATAAGCTGAAGATGAATTTATTAATTGGAAGAATGTGGGACAACGTTGTACCGAAGAAGAGACCGCTCATCGATATAATTTTGTCTGACAGCGAATGTTCGATAATTATCGTCTAGTACGAATAATAACGCTCGAACTTACCTCTAGCGTGCCCCACTTGCCATCTTCCACCCTAACGAGCTCGTAAGTAAACCCGATTTCTTCAGAGAACTTCTGAAGCAGATCGATGCAGAACCCGCTACAACACTGGTAGAAGCTCTCGTTCTTCTGCGCCGATTGAATATCCATCCTGAAACATAGCAAACCCTGTAAATTAACTGTGTCAGTTACATGACTTCGAAGATTATTTCACACTTTAACACTTTAGTGTGTATAAGTGGAGAGTATAAATGTGAATGCTGGTTCAGCGAGGACTGATTCATAGAGGATAGCAATCACCAATTTTGCAAACTCATAGATATTTAAGAATCTCCTGGGCTGGACGAGTTAGAATTTGCAAGAAACCATTGAGCTCTACTTTAAGATAATTAGTACATTGGGCATATTCTTTTTAAGTTATTTGTACATATTTATATCATAGAATTTAATAATTAAATTATATTGCACTTGTAAATAAAATTTTGTCTATTTGCTAAATAAATCGGCTTCACGAACATTGTGGGAGCCAATCTTATTTGTTTCCACGGATGTAGTACAGAATAGATGTTGCGTGCAATGCTTTGCAATGCTTCTTTCTGTCGAACGGATTGGGTCACCATCAGCGGGAAACGCTGTCACTGTCGATATTTCATATGATGCCAACATCCATAAGAGTCATAGTGATGTCTCGTTCGTTTTATATTCTCAAAGTTGATTCGATTTCCGTTCAGACGGTTGCAGGAAGAATTAATCCCTTCCCGTACAATGACGAGTCTGATTCGTCACAAGTTCTTGATGTCAAGTTTCACAATCACCACACTCGTCATCGTCTTATACATTAAAATCAACACATTTTTGCATTCACGATGTATTCGTAAAGTTAATCTATTCTTCTTCGTGGCCATTCCTTGTACGAATTTGAACAAAATAAAATAGTATACGTTTGAAAAATTATTTGAAATTAAATCGTACGTCAAGACGTTAACTTTGCAATGGTGTTTCGCCAAGTTGTGCAATCTAGGCGCATTGTTAGGTCAGGCTACATCTGCATGTGCCAGACCCGATGACTATCGTGACACGTTTGTAATTGCAGTTGGCAAACAACAGTCAACATAATTAGAACAGTGAATATAATTACGATTACACTTGCGCTAATACACTGTTTCCTTGCGAATATATGGAGTCGAATTGTAGAGCATTCGTACTAATTGGCTTACAAAACCCGGTAATCAGTTCTTACTAATAATAAATTGATTGGAAGTTTCGTAATTTAAGCGTAGTTTCATTTTATCGCTAACTGTTGATTTTCCAAATTCGTGTTAAATTACTACAGTTTCACAATTTCCTGTTTTATTGCTTCGTGTTTCGTTTCTATCGAAACGCTGGGCGTATGATTTATATCGCAATAGATTTCAATGGGAATCTGTACAAGATTTGTTTCAATGACTGTTAACCGCAAGACACCTGTCCAAATATATCCTAATTAGTCGACCGTAGCGGGCGTCATTGCTGAATATATTTAGAGGGAAACTGTCTCTAATGACGGTTGTGTTAGAGGAACGAAGAAACACTTCCTCTGGCATTATTATGCTAGAGTGTAGCTACGAACATGGATGCCGTTCGCAGGATATTATAACAACAGCCGCTAGGATATATCCTAGCCTGTACAAACTTACGACGTACAAAGATTTGTAATAAACAAGTAATATTATAACTGTATTAAATGGAGACACTCGTGTGTAATAGAATTACAGTGAGTGTAAAAAGTATTCGTACACTAGTCAATTTGAACAAAAACTTTGCAGAACTTTGTTTATTACAAAAGTATGTTAACAAAAACATGCATACATATTCTTAAAAATCTCAAGAACAAACTTCATTTAAAATAAATTGTTTACGTATATTTTCTATTAAAATATTAACAAAAGTTTCGAATATGGTCGAAAATATACGAGAAATAGCTATTCGTATACTTCTAATTTTATAACAAAGACTATTCATTTTTATATATAACGCACATTTTATATATAACAAATTTATATAAATAAACAATTTATTTTGAATGAAATTTGCTCTTGAGATTTCTGAAAATACATATGCATTTTTTTTAATAAATAAAGTTTTATAAAATTTTTGTAGAAATTGACAGCTGTACAAATTCTTTTTACACCCACTGTATGCCGACAAAAAATAGGAGGAAAATAATTAATGACGAATTACGAAAGGAACGAGAAATTGAAAATACATTGAACAAGAATAACAATGACAGAACAAAATTAAGTATATTTTTTTATTTCGTTTAAAAAGTGGTCCTAATGTACGCTAGGTATCATAAAATAATAGTGATTGTTAAACCACGCAAAATGTTTCCATATGATATTATTCTACTCTTGCTCAGAGCAGGTTTGGAGCTTGGCCGAATTACTTCAGCCACCCTTATGACTTTATCGTTTAAAGTCTGACAAAATTTGAATTTTAATAGGATTATACAAACATCTGGCAGGACAACTACATCGGCGTAATGATAAAACGCATTTCGACGGAATGGAATTTCGGAATTTCCAATTTAATTATTTTGGACAATATTCAACCGCGTTAATTGAGGCAACGTGATAAATGTATTGGTACGGTAAAGTTTGTGTCAGGAAGTTCTTTCGTTTATAGGTTCTACACCACCTACCACATAGGTTCTACACAACACAGGTTCATTTATAGGTTCTTCTTTGTTCGCGTCATAAAACTTTATAACGTTTTTAGAAGTTGTTAAATCTTTACCGGGCACATTTAACAGATTACGGTGAATCGGTAGTTTAGTTTTAAAGAGTGGACCGTCGTAGGTATTTTAAGCTTTAACATAGTACAATCCGTACTTTTCCGTTTAACAAATCATTCACGCGTTCGTGTTTGCTCTATTAACGAAAAATTGTTCGTAAAAATTCAAAGGATCTATTCCAGTTCCACCAACCAGATAATTACTACGTTGTAAAAGCTTAAAATGCAATGCAAAAATTTTGCAAGATCACAAGGAATTAAAACTTTCAAATAATGTACAACTAATACTTCACAGTAACACCTTGGGTCTTTTTTAAGTGTATTATTGCATCATTCAAAAACTGTGTATTTAAACTTTTCTTTAAGATTTTGTCCTTATGTTGGTTGCCCCATTCGCATTAAAATTACCTTTGTAATCTTATTTTGATTATTATGTTCTATTACTTTGTATACTAATAGGACTCCCCCTTTATTGAAGAAATAAAAATGAATTCTTTACGCCAATAAATTTTTTAGAAAACACAACCTATTAAATAAAATTTAAGTGATTAAATTGTAAAAGATGATATGGAAATTTACAAATAATATGATCAACACTAAATCTACCGCGAACAGTGAAATGACCGTTTTTAAAATTTCGTTTAGAATTTCTAACACACAATATTATTTTAACGCCATTTAACTTCACCACTTTTTTTATAGTATGCATACGTGCAATGAATTTTTAGAAAAATATGTAGCCTGTCTTGCCTACCACGACCGATCATCTGACCGGTTGAATGATTTATATTTGAACTGAACAAAATTTGGTACCAAAATTCTGGTTAGTTTCCGATGTAAATAGGAAATATATGTATAGCAAAGACGAAAGGAGAGAATCTTCAGTTTCCACTGTCTTAGAACAGTCTAACAACGTGTATTAAAAATAGTTAAATTTTAGACGCGTGCAGTTTTGAAACTACTCATGTTTTTTGCATAACTGAACCATTGTTGGAAGCGGTAAACCTTCCTCTTTAAAATGGCTTTTATTTTATGTCGAAGTTTATGTGAAGTGGTAATTTTTCACTCTATCCAATGACTATACCAGCTACTATAATTTTTGCTGTCTTCTATGCTTATTTTCACATTTACTTTGACACTACATACCCAAAGTAGTTTCAGCAATTCCTATTGATTATACGGCTGGTGTGCGGTAAAACTGGATTATAAATTATTTATTTAATCGAAGATGAATTTAAATTTAAATACAGGATGTTTGCGTAATTACTAGTCAGCACTTTTTCTTAAATAGTTGTTTTCTCTAGAACTAACTACGGTATCGACTTGGAACAATATTCGTTTTCAAGGGCGTTTTACCTTCTATCCGATGAAAATTAAAAAAATCTTTTAACATAAAAGAGAATGATATCTTACGAATAAACATCAAAGCACAACTTTCACATTGCCTCGTGAAAGAGAAAAAGGAAGACTGGTCATTTGACCGATCATGGTAGGAATGAGTATACAGTAAGTGTCGATAGGTTTAGTGTTAAAAGAAATAACATGGATATGTTACATGACAGTTGTATATTCAATAAAGTTGGTTATTTCTAGTGTTTTGGGAACTGAGAAATTATGCAATAGTTTACAATCTCCCTTTCTTAAATCTACTTTTCTACGTTTTAACAAGAAATCTTTAAAAGGGAGCACGCGTACAAAATTCTTAATGCAAAAGCCTTAATACAACTCTGAAATTCTTCTCATCTAAAATACCTCTTGGCAAATGCGTGTTGAACTACTTTCCAAATTGAAATTTCATTCCACGGTAATTCCAGAAATGTGATTCAGATCTACCAGGCCCCGCATGAGAGTTTCACCGAAGTTCTCCGGTTGATGGATAGAAGCAGAGTGTTCGAAAAGTGCTTCAACGACACTTGATTAGAGTTGAAAATTTCTTTCTTCTCGGTCTTGTGCTTTCGCGAAGAAAGGTGCACGCGTCGCAATTTATTTCGGGGTATTCGTGCAAACTGTTTTGAAAAGCTGTTGAAAAACAATCGCGCTAATTTTCTGACAGCATTCTTATCGGGAACTACGAAAATCAGAATTTAGGTTTCTGGTTTCTTATTTCGTGTACTTGATCGCTGTTTCTGTGTAATTAGCCCTCCGTCCACTTTTATCGCGGAACATGAAAAGCAATTACCTGTTTTTTTTCTGTTGGCGCTCTGCCATATCGTGCTCATTCAAAGAACAAAGAGATTCTATCGCCATTGCGCTCTTTATTTCCAGAGAATTGTTTGTCTCACCACCAAGATAATACTTGACACTTAAGAGTTAGATAATGAAGACATTGTAGGTAGAAATAATTGTTAATTAATCAGAGAGAGAGGTGTAAATGATTTC